GCCTGCGCGGGCGCTGCTGGTACAAATATAGGGATTATAATTCTTGTTTAAACCATTTATTGACGACAATATGGCCTTAAGATACAGAGCAGTGGATTACTTGTTTGTGCTTTTGTGCAAGCTGACACAGACAAAAGATAGCAAGTAGATTATATTCGCTATTCTCGTAGCATTGTAGTTTCGTAGTAGAGTCTACGGGACGCTGTTTAAAGCGGATATCACACCTTTTGTATCTCATAAAAATAATCTTATTATGTAGTTGATTTTCAAAGTCTTATGCCCGTTTTCACCATCAACCCCTAATATTTAAGTGACCCCTATGGTAACACATAATAGGAATTTTGTTTTCAAAGGCGTCACTTAAAAATTAGGGATTGATGGTGGAAACGAGCATAAGGCTTTTTACGACGTTTTATTTTGACAATAGGTAGTAGTAATATTTTGCCGCCGCATTAGAAAACTGGAATATGACGTAACCTATTTAGACACGTTGTAAATATTTAAATCGATTGTAACCAATATGTTATTGTTAACCCGTAGTTTTCTGATATATTAGTCACAAAAATATTTAAAGTGATTCAGTACCGAAGTACTTTTAGAAAGTGGATTACGCTATCTTATTACTGCTGCTAATCAACTCATTATCTACAACTTCATTAGGATCTAGCAAAAACTTGATTGGCAGGGTTTTAATAAATGGGCTTTATATAATTTCTATTATAAAGCAATTAAGGTATACTTATTATTGTAGGTACACATTTTACGAGGTTATTGTTACTTACATCTGTGTTTATGGATAGATTTGTTGTTCTAAGCAATTTTACGTTGACCACAAACAATTTTAACTGCCAAACCTGCTCTACCATCTTAGTACAAAATAATGTTCTAAACATGTAGTTTGTATTTAGCATAGCGATTAGAGAGGGGCTTTTCAAATCTAACGTGCAATTCGCATCTTACAATGTAACGATCGAGCATTAACCTATACAAGTATTTGTCCGTGGTATCANATCTTTTGACGTTTTATTTTGAACATAGGTAGTAATATTTGGCCGCGTAGCATTAGCAAACTGGATTATGACGTAACCTATTTTGATACGTTGTAAATATTGGAATCGATTGTAACCAATAGGTTAACCCGTAGTTTTCTGATTTATTTGTTACAGCAGTGTTTAATGTGACTAAAGTACTTACTTTTAGAAAGTGGATTACGCTATTACTGCTGCTAATCAACTCATTATCTACAACTTCATTAGGATCTGGCAAAAACTTGATTGGCAGGGTTTTAACAAATGGGCTTTATATAATTTCTATTATAAAGCAATTAAGTATACTTATTATTGTAGGTACACATTTTACGTGGTTATTCTTACTTACATCTGTGTTTATGGATAGTTAAGTTGTTGTTCTAGGCATGACCACAAACTATTTTAACTGTCAAACCTGCTCTACCATCTTAGTACAAAATAATGTTCTAAACATGTGGTTTGTATTTAGCATAGTCATTAGGAGAGGGGCTTTTCAAATCTAACGTGCAACTCGCATCTTACAATGTAACGAACGATCGAGCCTTAACATTTACTATACAAGTATTTGTCCATGGTATCAAGTAATTCATGTGACAAATTAAATATAATACCTATGTGCATTTGAAATAACAGGCATGTAAGTGTTTGTACCTAAATATCAGGGTATACCAGTCGTAGGTTGCAAAAATATAAACTTGGGGTCATTGTCCAAAACACTTAATTTTCGTCTTTTTTCCGGAAACGAGAGACGTTTTGTTCATTATGTCTTTTCCTCGTACAAAGGACTTACAGTGCTAAGTTTAATTAGTTCATCGACCTATATTATCATTGCGGTTCTTAATTTGTGGGTTACTAAACTTTATTCTGATACATTGAACCTATTTTTTGAGAAATTTAATTAACATGAGTAACGTACATTATATCTTACCTACCTAGTTAGGATGAAGGTAATACGAACGTGTCTTTTCTTGTTACAAAATTGATAATTTTTATGACGATTTACTGAAAATATTACCGAATGATAAGATTAGAGTTTAGACGTGTAGTCTCTTAGACTCTATGTATAGAGACTATGTAATTAATATTCGTGCCTAAAAATAGAATACTTTAAGAACAGATATGGTGTTGTGAGCTGTACAACTCTTTATGAGATTGAATTCAAGTATTGTCTATTATAAGATAGCACAATGGAGGCTTGTAGGCGAGCCATTGTCCAGCGGGTCAGAGCCTCCGAAGTCGCTGACCTTGGGCCTCGCGCCCTGCGCCTGCGCTGGTCTTATCGCTGAACCTATTCAGTCTGAACGGTTATAGCCTTAATTCGCTCTTTATAGAGGCCATAATCGCAAGCATAAGACATGAATGTTACAATGTTTCAGTTTCAATAGATACAACGGCGCCAGTACGGATCTAAAATGGAATGTGTTTTATTGCAGCCTCTAAAGGGCTCTACATGAAAATATATATGTTACAGTCAAAACTCATTATCGGTCAAAACCACTTTTGACTGTTAAAATCAGTCAAAAGTGACTAATTTTTGCAGTCACGAGTGGTTTTGATCTACGCCTACGCCCTTGGTCAAAACCACTTTTGACTGGAACAATCAGTCAAAACTGATATTGACCAAGGGCATCAGTTAAAACAACTTTTGGCTGATTTTTGCAGTCAAAAGTGGTTTTGACCGATGATGGTTTTGACTGTAACATAGAGCTGTATCAATAAAACTGAAACGTATACAATACTGTTCATGTAACTTGTTTCTATTGAATTCTAGTCGTACAAAACCAGGTGATGATGTGTATTGCATAAAGGTTATCATCATCGCGTGTTTAGTAATGTTTGCGTTGCAAAAGTAGCTGATGTTAGTTACAGCAGCGAAGCTTACTAAAAATTTTATTTAACTTGTTTCTGCCGGCGACTTTCCTTGCGTGGTTTTTATCAATCATAAAGTCTAATAACTCATGACCAAAAACATAGTTATTGTTACTCATCTTAATATTAATTTTAAGACCCTTAAAAAGATAAATTGCATCTTCCACATAAATGGTTCCCTTTCAAAGTTTTTTGGCGATAAAAGGTAGCCTTTATGTCATTTTTTTAGATGTAACCTATGTTTTTCTGAATTTTCTTCTAAATTGGCTACTACCTACATGAAAACGTAAATAACAGCGTTGCAGCGTTTGGTTTGGATGTTATTATTAATAATAAAGCTTGGTCTTTATATCAGTAAATAACTTATCAACGTAACCTGCGTTGAAAAATAACAAAGCGTTCGGAAGGGCGAGATTTAAACTTTGTGATATTGACCTTGGTGTTCTGCATCAAGGCCCCTTTCGTGGACTGAGGTTACGAATTTAACAATGGAACTTCAACGTCTATCCGTTTATATTTTTAATTTTAACAAGAAAAATGAATCAGTCGTTTTATTTACTCAAATGGCTTTGCTCTATTATCCACAAACCACAAAGCATATCTGAGTAAATAAGATTTATTAAGAAAATCTGCCTTGTTTGTAATGTTTTAATTCCGACTTCTATAGTGCGTAACTATGGATGATTATAGTAGTTAAAAAGTTAGTGAAACCCACTGAAACCAAGGATTGATGGATTTCAAATTCATGTAGCTTTTACTAGATTCAATTAACAATGTGTTCAGAAAGTAATGTAACAAAGCAGGAAATTAAGTAAAGGAAAAAATCTGAGAATAGTGTACGAAAATATTTGATGTCCTAAAATTTATAAGGTACTTCTGCATAAAAGAAATTACATACGCATTTGAAGCTATAAAAAGCAAAGCGATGCCCTGAATTTAAATGGTGCCTTTTCGAAGCACCCACTGGTGCAAGGGATGAACGACCGGCAAGGTCGGAGGCTTGCATGCGAGGAATGTGCTTTGTGCGGTCGACAGCACATCAGACTATACATTTTTGATGTAAAATAGCACCTATTACAATTGAATAAAACACTGCATTGTATAGCTTGACGTGCTGATTATACGAGTGATTCACGCAGGTACCTTGGATCAACCAGTAAAGCTGAAGAGAATGCTATTGAACGCTGGATGTACTGTGGAGCTATACGCGGAGTCAATCATATGAAAGTTAATACAAGAAATAGAACCAGGATTAAATTGTTTTACCTACTTATAATATTTGAAACGACGCTTAATAATTAATAACTAGATTCAAACTCAAACTTCGTAGTAAAATTTCAATGTTAAAACTCAAACTTGAATTTTCTTCAAGTGTCGAAAATTTTATGCTTTTCCTTCATATCATTGTTTTACCTCGCGTCATACCAACATTAGTAATAGGTACTTACCATACTAATTCTGGAAATCCTTGGGGGAGGCCTTTGTCCAGCAGTGGACGTCTTTCGGCTGAAACGACGACGACCATACTAATACTGCTAAACCTTCAAGTAGGTACTACGTTAACGTTTTCAAATGTTGATACTTAACGTTCCGAATATTTCTCTAACTAGCTGCTTTATGATGTTGATATGAACAATGAAATTGTTAACTGAATGGGAACTGATTTTGACACGATTAACTTGGGTCACGTTTGCAAGTTTAATCGTGAGAACTGGAGCAGTACCTGAAAGGCTACTGTAATGATTTATTGAAAAAAATCTATGTAATTCAATTTGCCAATCTTCGAATAGAAAAATCGTAGTTGTTACCTATTACTTTACTTATGATTCCCTGAAGCCTAAAATTTTACAAATGATATACAACAGGTAGGGGCTATTTTTTAACTGTAGGAAATTCAGGCATTGCAATATCACAGAAATATAGCTCGAGTAAGCACGCGTACATTTGGTACTTACATCAACTGTTACTGATAGACCTTACTCTACCATAATATGATACAATCTACTTCTTCTTCTGCGTCGGGACAAACCGTTACTCGGGGTCGTCTTTTTCTATCATGATATTAAATGTCATATTTTCTCATTTTCAGGGTTGTAAACAAAGATGGCGGCGTCAGGAGGGAAGCGCCGCGAAGAGGCAAGCGACAACTCCGACGACGAGCTTACTCCGCTCGCCAATGAGATCTATGGGGGCAGGTCAGTTACTTACAGTATTTTGAAACATAAGAGTATTATTTTTATTTTAACTATAGACCGTCACCGTACCTACTTGTAAATAAAGTTGCAGTACACTTATAGTAGACGTGGAAATCCTTGGAAATCCGTCGAAGTCATTCTGAAACGAACGAACACTACAATGAGACAGTTTGTAAGAATTCATTTAAGGCTCTACCTCAGATGCAAATTACTTTCAAGACATTACGATTGACGATTTTCAGTAGGTACCTACCAAATAATGAAATTGAGGTATTACGAGTATAAGTAGGTATAATCAAACTCTATTTCACTAAACTTATTACATTTTACGTTAACGTCTTGCAAAAGATCACAGGATTTAATTTACTTACTTCCAAATTGTTTTTGGTGAATTACTACGAAAGAATGAATGTTTTTGTAGGTAGGTACTCGTACCTACATAACTGTTTGGGAGGTCGATGAGACTAAACTTTGTAACGGTGTGGGTGAGCTATACAGTTGGTCGCTTACGTAGATGTGCGGAGCGGATTCTGTGCGCAGTGACATCATCATGGAGGCTGAAAATTACGCTGACACGTCATCGTAACGCCGCGTCAATTTCGGTTTATCTCAAATTATAGGCGATTAGGTCATTCCTACTTGACTTGAGGTCACAGGCAATCGGATATTGACGCATTTACAATTTCACTTTCGTCACTTTATTTCAGACGACTTAAAGATAAGCTTGGTAGAGTGCATGGCGATATATTCAGTAGAAGGAATGAGTTCAAGAATCGAGTGATTTTTAATAATCTAAAACACAATTTCGTGTCTAAAAGCAGATATTTGACCGCAATCTGATGTTAATTAAGTCTTTCCCATAGAAGGGAATAAGTTAGGTATTCCATGGACGAATGGATTTGTGCATTACATTCAATGTACGTACATAATGTAAAACCCTTGACTGTAGAGTAAATGTAGTTTTATTTGGCGAGAGCTTTCGCTATTTACTCTAAGGTATATTTGCGGGAGCTTAGTTGAAGACTCGCAGTAATCGTCAGAGACACCTCAGATTGTTACTACAAATTCATTTCAATGTGCAAATGCGACTAACGATGTCGATATAGATTGGCTCACCACATTAACTAGTAATGTGCACATAACAAAGCCCTGAGTAAGGTGCATCGAGAGGCATGTAGTGACGCATTATATAGCCATCAGTCTTGGCTCTTGAGCAATAAGTCTCGAGACGAGATGACACGCGTTAGTTCCGCTTCTCCGACTACTCTCACTCACGCGTTTCGTTGTGATTTTATCGACATGAATCGACAAAACCTTTGTCGGAAAATCTCGACATCATCCGCTATTACTTTTTAACGACGAACCGTGGTTTTGAATGTTACGTCAAACGTAGACTGGTCAATGCAGCACAGTACTAGTTACAGCTTTTACTAAGACTTTAAGCGCGCGTGACTGATTCGTTGTTCAAGGTTTAAGATTTAGAAGGTAGCTATTTATTCTTTATATTGTTGAACTAAGAACTCTAGAACTCTTTTTGCACTAATATATTTTAGATTCATTACATGATTGAATTTTTACAGAAAGAAATCGGGCGTATTTAGTTTTTGATAAACGAAATAATACGATATGCACTAATTTGTTATTTACTTAAATCAAGCAAGATTGATTAATTTGCGCTTCATTTCCAGTATAGATAGAGCCTACATTATAAAGTTTTCAGTCAGAACAAAGACTTACAACAACATTAAAGTCAGCGTTATACGTATAGGAATAAATTCAATAAACTTTTATGGGCGAGACGAATACTGGTGCTTTGGTACATTATCTAGCAGAGGTCGTCTCACGCTCGCCGGGCCCGGAACCCGCACAAATGCCAAGGTTGACAACTCTGACGACACAACTTTCGATCAATCGACTGCGCCACATTTTTGCGCCCCACTTCGCTCGCGGCCTCAGACAACTCAAGACTCTACTGCTCAGACCAGTCTAGGCGCTGACCAGTGACAAAACACGATGCGAGATGCAGAAAACGACGTTCACTGAAAGCAAATCATAGATTTATTCCACATTCAGTGAGGAATATGTTAGAAACTCTACAATATCGAAAAATTGAATAATATTAGTTTATTTAAAACTATTATTTACCTACTAGACCAACCATATTAACATACAGATAGCCAATATTCAAGTTTCCATGAATTGATTTGGCAGAACCGTGATACCAGTAAACCAGAATATTAAGTTTTATTTTTTAAACCTTATTAGTCACGTCCAGACTGAGAACTCCGGTACCAGTTCAAAACGAGCGTTTCTTTCGAATACTAATCTTACTAGTTAAGTTATAAAGGTTAAATTAAAATGGGGAATGGCCATCGTTTGTGGGGTCAGCCGTGATCTGAATATTGGATGACAACGGTCCGATGAAGTATGGCATGAGACTATCTAGTGTTACACTTAATGCCTGGTTACTGTATATTTCTGACCATTCTAAAGATTGGTTTCAAGTTAGTGACGTAATATCTAAATTATTAGTGCAGCAGACATGGAAATCCGTAAGAAGCTATCAAGTGGTAAGCTCGCCCAAACAACGGCGGTCGTTGACCTCGGTCACGCTGGGCATGGGGCAAATGAGCATGGAGGTGATGTTTTGCATGACAACTAAGTACCTTAATGCTAAAAACGTTTGGACTTTTACATTGTAGGGCCTGCGTCTGTTTAGTGTTTTCGTATTGGTATGAGTATGCTAGTTACTACATAAGTACTATTTCTTTATACCTTCCTACATAAAGACACTCATAATTTTTTAGCTAAACTACTTTTTCATTGAAATAAACTGACAACTAATTCAGTTCCTAGCTATGAAAACTGTGTTTTATAAAATAACTAGCTGACCCGGCGAACTTCGTACCGCCTTAGCGTAGAGATTTTCTTTATATTTTTTTCCGTAAGAACCATCCTTGGACTTCCACAAACATTTAAAAAAAAGAATTATCGAAATCGGTTCAGCCGTTCACACGTGATGCCGTGACAACGCGAAACGGGTTTCATTTTTATATATATAGATAATCCAAAACTTCCGTTGTGTATGGAGAATTTAACAAAGCTCATTCTTTAACATTTTATAGGCAATACTAAAAATATGTAGTTTGCATAGTTAGCTACATAAAATCTAGTCCTACTCCTTAACTCATTAAATATGTATATCCGGTAGGTAATGATTAGAGATATCACTACCTACAACATACTGGGTAAGTTTCATAATACAGTAGGTAAAAAACGAGGTTAAACATGTCATGCTGTTAACTACTGTATTATGTACCTATTCATAGATCAGATTAAACGTTACAAAAGTGATTTTGTAATGTTTTCGCAGGTGAACAGAGAAAGCAAAAATATGCGTTTGCGTGTAATTTTTGCATTTACATTGTGGTAGAGTTGAGTGTCTTCAGAGATCTCTTCAGATTACGCTACCTTCCTTTAATCGAATTTGCCCAAAAACCTTATAATTTAGAACCAATAGCAGTAGGCGTTCTCTCTATTAACACCAAGTGTCTATAAAGTCAAAGCTTTTTCAGATCAACATCATCCCACACAATGTTATTCGTTTTCTTTTTAATCTTCCGAGAAGAAATTCTACTGCTTTTGAACTGGTATAATTCGAACTCAGTGTTTGAAAGAGTCACCAGACTGTCCCTTACTCCTGTGTTACACGCCTAGGCCGTGCGACACTGGCCACTAAGAAAACCGCCTTCTTTTTCTCGACGACCTATTTCGATACTCTTTTGTTTTTTTTCGACTATCGATTTCTCACGTTGCAATTTTATTTCACTTTGTAAATAATTTAAAGGTAAGTGTTCAAGTTTTACCCCGTATCCGTATATTATCGAGTATGTTACTTATACCTACGATACCCCGAAACACTCATGAAACCCAAGATTTAGGCTCATCGAGCCACTACTACACCCTGTAGAGTTTGATCTTATCGCTTAGCCCGTGAACTGTCAAGAATTGACAGCCTTTATCATAGCATTTCAACATTGTCTCTAGCGGCGTGTGCTGCGTTTGTCAGGCTTTCGCAAGTTTTCGTGAGCTCGAGCGACATTGAGCGATGTATTGTTGAAGTGCGCTAGCGCAGGCTCCGCGGCGCCGCTGCTCAGACGCCTATTAATAACCCGTCTCAATGTTAAGCACATTCTTTAGACATTTTTAGAATAAATAAACACTCAATTCGATCTTATATGTGATACATATTAAAATACCTAATGAAGCAGGCTAGATAGATTGCAATTTAATGTGGGTTTTAACCAAAAAAACATCAACAGTTTGGAGACGTGCATCTATATAAGAATACAGGTATAGACAGCATAGCACTCGCTAGTCTGGATCGTGTGATAGGAAGGTCACTGCAATTTATTATGCCACGATTTTCGATTGGGTGGCAACGTTGTTTTACAAAATCCTGTTAAACTAGTCAAAACGAGTTCAGTAAATCACTTAGGTATATTAGGTTTTTAAAGTAGATTTAGTTAAAATTGGCCTTGTTGCATCGTACACTGTAAAGATTGTTATAAACAAATGTGAGTAGGTAGGTGATATCATATTCAACTAGCACTTTCAGGATTCTTTGTCAACTTTTATTTACGAAAAAAGTTTAATTAAATTACTTGCAGTGATCAGTTATTGGTAGAGATGAAGATAAAATAAATAAAGACTAACTGAAAAACGATGATGGGCCTTTTTTAAATGGTAGTAATTATTACGTATGCAGTAAAGACAAGTAACACCTATGTTGTTAACGTACAAACAACTTATAAAAAGTTACTTTCATTTGAGTCCGCGTACGGGACCACTATCGTAATTACCGATCCAACAATATAATTTCACATGGCCACTGCGGCAGAACGAAGAACTCGCCACACAATGGAAAACATTCGCTTAACTTTAGACAACAAAACGGTCATTTTTTTATTAAACTTCTTAATTTATAAGATAAGCTAATTAGGTAATTGACGCTGCAGCTACGCCTACGTAATGTTAATTGGCAATGTAGACAGAAAAACATGAGAAAACGTTAATTAACCTTCCTTACATATTTTTTATAGCCTTATGAAATCTTATTTCCCATTTTCAACTAAGTTTTTCATGGCGGTTTATCTACTCGATAAATTAACGATCTATGGCCTAATAAAGAGAAATTAGTAAGTATATCGTGTGGTATTTATTTGTCTTTTTCGCATAGATCTCCCAAGTGGAGTAAGTTTATTAATATTCACATTTTGTCCGTGCGGCACTTGGTATACAATAGCGTATCACTGTCCGCTGCGGCCGGCGCGTGCGGCCCAGTCGTTAGTGCGATCGCTCCGTTTGCTGTCCTAACTGACGAACGATGAGTTATTGAATAATAACCGTTCAAACAGGACACATTCCAAATCATCTTCTTCAGTTTAAACAAAAAAGAAATGTCTAAAAATCTCAAAAACTTGTGAAGTGATGTGTCGCTATTTTCTCTATCGCAAAGTGAAATTTCTTCAAATGGCTGAGTGAAAATCGGTGAAAATGAGTGAGCGCGGTCGAGGGACATATTGTGAAAAGGAGCCAGAGGAGCCTGTTTATGTGGCGAATAACAACAATTCTATTTATAGCAATGGTACTTTACACTACGCCAGTATTTACAGGTAATTCGGTTACTAGATTACGAATCGAATCAATTTGCGCCAATCAGTTCAGCTTTGTAAGATATTCTGTAATTTCCGCATGCCAATCAAAGATTATAAGTGTATTTAAGCAATTTTTCATTGAGTTATAGAAATTCTGTAATAAAAATGGCACTTAACGCACTTAAAATCCACACTTCAACGGATGATTTAATCAGCTCTACGCACTTTTAGCACTATTACCAATTTTCACTAGAGAGTTAACGGTCAGTATTTTACTTAATTACTTATAATGAATTGTATAAAAATATACAATTATCTGAAAAATTATGTACATCACGAATCGTTACAAATAACAGTTATCATCACCTTCAACTTTCTATTACAATTAAGGCATGCGATGATGCGACATACCAATAAAGCAACTGCTGATGGCGCCACAAGTTTGTTTATTCTTCGGTATTTTATATTTTATGATTTGAAAACTGCAAAACTTTATTTTGTCTAGGCACATAATTGCGAGTCAATGAAGCATTTACTTTGAATTCAGTATAAACACGTATGTAGAGCAAATTCTTTCCAATTACTTAAATACCGATTTGTGATTTACCGTTCACCGCGTTATTTTATTTGGAATTAGCTTGAAAAAATAATGAAATTTTGACTCGATGTGCATAATAATTGCAAGTCTTGAATGTCGTATGTTAGGGTATGGGCGAACGCGCAAGGTAGCTGCAACGTCTAATTGGGTTACAGCGTGCCCGCTCCGTTACCTACCTTACGTAAACACCACTGTCACAACGACAACGGCCGTGTCGAAACCATGAGCCGCCCCTAACAATATACCTTGTTATCATCTAAGCAATGTTAATGTTACTGTATTTATTTACCCATAGCCTTGTCAACGGCCGCCTCGAGTCAAGAGCTAAGATGTCCTACGAATGGTTAGGCAAAACACTTGATAGACAGATCACGCCGCGTTACCACAATATAAATAGTAGGTTACATTACTTTGTGGGTGAAATGAGCACAATGTTAATAACATTGGCATTTACAAGTGACACAAAAAGTATATAGTAATTTAATATGCTACGAAAACTCAAGTACACTTTTTAAGTTTCAATACGTTCAATGTAAAGGTTCCCAAAGTAAGCCTGTAAAAAGCCTTAACAATGAAATGAATGTTTATACCCTATAATTAATTATTTTGTAAAAATGTATAACGTCAATTCGTAACGGTTTTGCTACGGATAAAAGAAATGCTTAAATCATGGGAATTTGTTAAGACAACAAGTAACGTAGTTACGTAGTGTGATAAATCGAATGTAATTTGTTATTGATTGTAGTCATTTCATGTTAGAACGATTGTACCCAAAATAGTTATTGATTTAAAGTAAATTAAAATAAAACATTTATTGCCTTTAACCATTAACAAACAAGGTTTTATTTTTAGCGGCCGCTGCACTAAGCCACGAATGTGTATGCGTTGCGGCATCTATTTCAAAATTTCACAAATTTTGGACTAACACTATGCTTCTAGCATTAATTTAAGAAAAGAATATAATATTTCCCAAAGGTTTTCGGTAAAGTTCATTAAGAAACATTAAAAATAATGACGCATTATTTTTTACTTGATGTGAGAGAGTTACACCTTCATTTATCGCAACGTCTATTTTGCATGCCATGTGAATGGACGTGTTTTCTTAATTTACAATGGAATGATGTTAAGACTCTGTCAAGTGAAGAGAATAACTAAATAATTACACACATTGTAGCTGTCGGCAGTGATAATAGTAGAAAAAGTTAGGCACTAATATAAGAAAAGCTAAGAAAATGTTAAATATTCTTTTACGTTTTTTTACATGCATTCTTCCTCAAACGTAACAAACACGTAACCAAAACATTATGAGGTGTTACGGTAAAAAGCTCAAGGTTACTCGGAAGTGTATCGGAAGGAAGTGTACCACGTTACCGAGCTACACTACATACCGTTGCCTCGGATTTCTCTCTCGCTGATTGCCGTGTGAAAGTTGTTTTTCTTGCTTCAATACCGTCTGCGCTCATATGTAGCGTGCAGGTGTAAAAACTAAGAACAATAGTAAAACGATATAAATGCTTACTGAGAACAGTACTTACCAATTGAATACTTGATACAAAATAATGCAAAATAATGAAACTCTTACGTGGTTGTATTTACTTCACTAATTTGATAAATAGGCTCGATCAAATAATATGATTTAAAAGTAGCTTTACGCAATCGTTAACGAGCCAATTTGCAGCTCTATTGAATACGCGGTATTGTTGTGCTTTTCTTACCATCCAATTAGTCCAAAGAACACACGCATACGTTGGCAAATGTATTTGCCCTTTCCCCTTTATCATAACAATCCCAGTATACTCACTCGCATTTATTTTCAATTTCCAGCCAAAGAACAGTACAAGAGACGAAAGGATGGGACGTGTTCCGAGAGTTCCCGCCGAAGCAGGACAGTGTTTCCATGGAAACGCAGAAATGGTTGGAGTGCACGGTCCGCTTACTCAAAGTCCTGGCGTACTTGGTCACCTTCATCGTGGTGCTTGCATCTGGCGTCATAGCCAAGGGCACTGTGCTCTTCATGACGTCACAGCTCAGGAAAGACCGCCGGTTAGCGTATTGTAATAGGAATTTAGGTAAGCGATGTTTTTTGTTTCAATTTTAAGTACCTCGGCGCCTTTATTAACTAGTGGACAGTCCAACCTATCAAATACAATTCAATGAGTCATCTAATAAGATGGTAGTTCTAACTTCTTAGGTAGCGCAAACTTATCGACTAACATTATCGTGTTTGTGATTTTTTTTCGTAATAAATTATGCTCATGTGTTTTTATTACGAAATCGAAACTTATACCTACTGTATTTCAAATTTCAGGTAGAGATAAGCAATTTGTAGTGAGTTTACCAGACGAAGAGCGAGTAGCGTGGATGTGGGCCATATTGGCGGCCTTTGCGATCCCTGAAATAGGAACGCTCATCCGATCAGTCAGAATTTGTTTCTTCAAGTCTTCGAAGAGGCCTTCGTTCNACCTTCGTTCACGCAGTTTGTTGTGGTAAGAAAAACCAATGAAATATTCCTCGTACTTATTTATCGTTTTCTTATATAATTGTTATTAAACTGTTGGTGTTTTTTTCAGGTATTTATAGCGGAATCTTTACATACTATAGGAATGGCCCTCTTATTCTTCGTGATACTGCCCGAGCTTGACGTCGTAAAGGGTGCTATGTTAACCAACTGCCTCTGTGTTGTACCAGCCATTCTGGGACTTCTGTCTAGGAATTCGCGTGACAGTAAGAGATTCGTGAAAGTAATCGTGGACATGGCAGCAATTGTAGCGCAAGTCACTGGTTTTATTGCGTGGCCGCTGTCTGAAGATAAACCGGTGTTATGGCTCATTCCAGTGGCTTCCTTATGCATATCGTTGGGTTGGTGGGAGAATTATGTCACACGGCAAAGTCCAATTGGTAAGGTTTTCATCATTATTTACACAAGTAGGAAAAAAGTTAAGCATGGTTCAGATCATGCTTCTGGGACGATAATTTATTTAAATTAACCAACAGCGATACATAGAAAATAGTCATTTTCATTTTCCATTTCCTGAAGTCTGAAAATAGAGTTTGATCTGAATTCACTGTTTAACTTTTAGCCTACTTAACCAACAGCGATACATAGAAAATAGTCATTTTCATTTTCCATTTCCTGAAGTCTGAAAATAGAGTTTGATCTGAATTCACTGTTTAACTTTTAGCCTACTGTAACCTTGTATAGGTATACCCAACAAAATTAAAGGATAACATAATTTTTATGACTTTTTTTTTTATTTCAGGTGTAATAAAAAGCTTAGGCAGACTAAAAGATGAGTTGAACGTTTCAAGATACTACATTTACCGATTCATGTCTGTTTGGAAGGTCCTGTTGTTCTTGATGTGCATTCTCTTCAGTATATGGATGGAGGGCGACGAGCCATCAATGTTCTTCCAAATGTATAACATAGGATTCGGGCCACACAACATAGTAGTTGAAGAGGTTTGTTTAGTTTAATTAGTTTATCTTACTTCCCCTTTCTGTACATAACTTCAAGTAATTTAGGTTTCTGCTTCATCAGAAATTACTGGAATTTACAATTGATCTAAGTATTGATATATTTTTTAAATGCTGTAATTTTGTTCCAGGTACAAGCTCAGCTTGGTGGTACCATTATCCCAGACTTAGCGAATGTGACGCTTACTGGAGATTCCGTCGAAGTCCCAGCTGTATACAAATCTGCATTCTACGTGATGCTTATTCAGATATTCGCAGCTTATTTCTGTTACATCTTCGGAAAGTTCGCCTGCAAAATCCTCATTCAGGGCTTCAGTTACGCTTTCCCTATAAATCTGGTCATTCCTTTAGTAGTTAATTTCTTGATAGCAGCTTGTGGATTGAGAACTGGTGATACATGTTTCTTCCATGGAACGGTTCCGGATTATCTGTTCTATGAAAGTCCACCAGGTAATTATTTGATAAAGTGTAACCATTTGTGCTTGTCACAACTAGCTTACGTATTCTAATATATCTTATTTTTATTGTAGTTTTCACTCTAAGTGATTTCATTACACGACAAATGGCTTGGGTGTGGTTACTTTGGCTGCTGTCACAAACGTGGATTACTATACATATTTGGACGCCCAAAGCTGAACGTTTGGCATCAACGGAAAAGTTGTTTATAATCCCAATGTACAACGGGTTACTGATAGACCAGAGCATGGCACTCAATCGAAAGAGAGACGACCAAAAGGACGTTAAGACTGAGGTAATACTTTAAATTATATTTAAAGCGTTTAACTTATTTAATTTTCATAACTTTAAGCATCCAAAATTTAACAATGTCATAAAATAATGATTTCAGGACCTTGCCGAAATAGAAAAAGAGAAAGGTGACGAATACTATGAAACAATATCAGTGCATACGGATAACACGGGTACAACTCCGAAAACAGTGAAGTCGTCAGATCAGATCACGAGAATATACGCTTGCTGCACTATGTGGCACGAAACGAAAGATGAGATGATGGAGTTCTTGAAGTCTATTCTTCGTTTGGATGAAGATCAGTGCGCTCGCCGGGTCGCTCAAAAGTATTTACGAGTAGTAGATCCTGATTATTATGAATTTGAAAGTAAATATACTTTAAATTGTAACTTATTAGTAATATAATCAAAGCTAAAAAAATGCTAATCGATTAAATTCCTTTTCAGCTCATATCTTTTTAGATGACGCATTTGAAATTTCTGACCACAGTGACGACGATTCCCAAGTGAATCGATTCGTAAAACTTCTAGTGGACACTATCGACGAAGCTGCTTCCGAAGTTCACCAAACGAACATTCGAGTTAGACCACCGAAGAAATATCCAGCACCGTATGGAGGAAGGTTGACGTGGGTACTTCCGGGTAAAACAAAAATGATCTGTCACTTGAAAGACAAAGGAAAGATCCGACACAGGAAACGTTGGTCTCAGGTATCTGACCACGAACCCAATATAATCTAAAATCTGAATATTAATTCTGTTCCAAGCTTTATTTCTTATTCATGCGTCTTTTATCTCCAGGTCATGTACATGTACTATTTACTTGGACACCGTTTGATGGAACTACCCATATCTGTCGATCGAAAAGAAGTGATGGCCGAAAATACATTCTTGCTAACTCTTGACGGGGACATTGATTTCCAACCGCATGCTGTGAGACTGCTTATCGACTTGATGAAGAAGAACAAAAATCTTGGTGCTGCTTGTGGACGAATTCATCCTGTTGGCTCTGGTAAAATGACATCTAAAACTCTACCAATAACAGTAATTATTGAATTTAGTTCATGTGATCTGACATCTAAATCATCTTCTAGGCCCTATGGTGTGGTATCAGATGTTCGAATACGCTATTGGTCATTGGCTGCAAAAGGCGACTGAACATATGATTGGCTGTGTACTCTGTAGCCCTGGATGTTTCTCACTCTTCAGAGGAAAGGCTCTTATGGACGACAACGTTATGAAAAAGTATACTCTACGATCCGACGAGGCTAGGCATTACGTACAGTACGATCAAGGTATGTATTGGTCGAGTCTATTTTGAATTTACTTACTTAATTCTGTATTCATTCGAAATCAATGTTAATCGATTGTTTACTTTCACTTTTCAGGGGAAGATCGATGGTTGTGTACGCTTCTACTGCAACGTGGTTATCGAGTAGAGTATTCAGCTGCATCGGATGCCTACACGCATTGTCCAGAAGGTTTCAGTGAATTCTACAACCAACGTCGTCGATGGGTGCCTTCCACTATTGCCAACATTATGGATCTACTGGTCGATTACAAGCACACGATTAAAATCAACGATAACATTTCTACGCCTTACATCGCTTACCAAGTAATTACCTGTTTCGCAAATACCATTTATAATTAGCAACAAATTAATTATTAATGTAATTAATGATTACGATTTAGTAATGGTAATTTAATCGGCAATTAATTTATTTTTAGATGATGTTGATGGGTGGAACAATTTTGGGTCCCGGAACCATATTTCTTATGTTGGTGGGAGCTTTCGTGGCTGCCTTCAGAATCGACAATTGGACTTCCTTTGAATACAACCTGTACCCTATTATGACCTTTATGTTTGTTTGCTTCACGATGAAATCCGAAATTCAGGTAAACATTTTTTTTCTTCTCTTTTTAGTTTTTCTTTCTTATCCTTATGATATTCATTCTTGTGTTTATTTCAGTTACTGGTGGCTCAGATATTATCGACAGCCTACGCTATGATAATGATGGCTGTAATCGTGGGTACTGCTCTACAGTTAGGCGAGGACGGTATCGGTTCTCCCTCAGCTATTTTCTTGATAGCTCTCTCAAGTTCATTCTTTATAGCAGCTTGCTTGCATCCGCAAGAGTTTTGGTGTATTGTACCTGGTATCATTTATCTGCTATCTATACCTTCTATGTACTTGCTTTTGATTTTGTACTCTGTTATAAATCTGAACGTAGTATCATGGGGTACGCGTGAAGTACAGACTAAGAAAACGAAAAAGGTAAGAAAAGTCTCAATTAGAGATTAGGATAAACAATATAACGACGTTCACGTATTTAAATAAATGTTTTTGTAGGAAATCGAACAAGAAAAGAAAGATGCTGAGGAGGCTAAGAAAAAGGCCAAACAAAAGTCATTGTTAGGTTTCTTGCAAGGAGTCAATAACAACGAAGATGAAGGATCAATCGAATTTTCTTTTGCTGGCCTTTTCAAATGTATGTTCTGCACACATCCCAAAGGAAATGAAGAGAAAGTGCAACTTTTACACATTGCCTCTACATTAGAAAAGTTGGAAAAGAAATTGGATGTAGTAGAAAGGTTTGAAGATAATATTATTTTTTAAACACGTAGGTATTCGTTTAGTTTTCACAGACGTTATTGTAACCAAATTTTGTTTATAGGACTGTAGACCCACATGGTTTGAACAGAGGCAGAAAGTTGTCAGTGGGTCACCGTGGCAGCACTAATGGCGACCATCAGTTAGATGCCTTAGCAGAAGGACCTGAGGATGAGCATGATTCGGATTCTGAGACAGATACTCTCTCGACGTCACCAAGGGTAATAATAACAGATCAATTAATCAACAGGATGATTAATTTTACAGGACAACAATAATAACAATCATGTGTTTTAGGAACGGAGAGACGATCTGATAAATCCCTATTGGATTGAAGATCCCGAATTGAAAAAGGGAGAAGTAGACTTCTTGAGTCCTTCTGAACTACAGTTTTGGAAAGATCTTATTGATAAGTACTTGTATCCCATTGATGCTAACAAGGAGGAAGAGGTAATTTGACACCATTTTAATAATACTCGTATGAAGCATTTACTTTGCTTCATACTATTACGAGTTCATGAAATCATCTGTAAACTATTTTAGTAAAAAAATTAAATAAAATACCTATCTCAAAAATACTTCAAGCAATTAAATACTACTATGAAAATACTTTCAGCTGAGAAATACTTATATGTATCTGAAACCTGAAATGATTGGTGTCATAATATTTTTTGATTTTTAAATGTTTATTAATGTGTTTTATTACAGGATTTGGACTTATAATGTAATAACGTAAATGTATAATTGAGATTGATTGGGAACATTTAAGTCAGGCTAAAATCGTATCTAATCATTCAACAGTATGCCAAACTTTTATGTTTCCATTCAACCTCCACTGCTAACACCCAATTTCCCATAATTTTAGGCCCGTATATCCAGAGATCTGAAAGAATTAAGAAACTCTTCCGTTTTTTCATTCTTTATGTGCAATGCCCTCTTTGTGCTCATTGTATTCTTGCTCCAACTGAACAAGGATAACCTTCACTTTAAATGGCCCTTCGGAGTTAAAACTAACATTACGTATGACGAGGTTACGCAAGAGGTAACGTGAGAGTCAACTTTACAGCGATCGGCCTTCAACGATGACTCGGGACTTCAACCAACAGATCTACAATGTAAAACTCCTTGCTCCACGGATGATTCCATCCCAGTCACCCTTGAATGCCGACGCAATTTAATTAAACATATGCTTTTTTATTACATTTTACAGGCTCGCATAGCAGCAGATTTGATAGAGCTTCGCAATAAATCAGTATTCGCATTTGTCATGTTCAATGCTTTGTTCATATTGATAGTGTTTTTATTACAACTCAACAAAGATCAACTCCACGTGGATTGGCCTTTGGGGATAAAGACAAATATTACGTTCATCGAGGAAACAGGCGAGGTACAGCCGAATGTTACCACTGGTTGTGTGTCACTTCACAAGTCTAACGACCTTCCTCTAACCGGTCTGTCTTGGGATGGCACACCAGCATGGAGTCCTGGCGATAGGAGACTACAACCTGGGCGTCACTTTAATGTTTCCACACAAACTCTAATTAATATCCAAGCCCTTCTAAATTCCCGACCTTTTACCCGAGTATCGGAAATGCTGACTAGCAGCGTAACACACCTCTATCTGTGAAGTAAATGTATATTGCGCAAATACTATTGCGTTATTTATGTCATTTACTGAAATATTAATATTCTTGGCAACCTGTACTCGTAAACACACCCAACTACCACTTATTGCACTCCACACTACTCGTACTACACACAGAAAAAGATGTTTTTCTGTTCTGTCTATTACGGTGGCGGAATTTCTTCTATTAAACACGGTATCGGGGTAAATGGTTTCCCTTGTAATATATGTATAACACAGAAGACCCGGTGATTTGAATAACATTGGAATTACTTTGTCTTCAATGTGTTCATTACAAACGCAGCAAATAGTATGTTCTTATTTAACAAGATTAGTACATAGTTATTATGTACTTACTTGAAAAGTACAATATTATTAGCTGTTGCAGTGAATATGTATTAATGTTATTGTGTCATTTGTATATCATTTGTTATTTACAAAATCATTATTGTTTGTATGTGTGTATGTTTAACATATTCTAATTGCATTATATCAAAATTATTTAACAGTACTTTTACTAATATATTGTATTCATCTTACAGGTATTAATCTCAAAGGAATATTTGCAATTGGAACCAATCGGTTTAGTGTTTGTGTTCTTCTTTGCATTGATTCTGGTGATCCAATTCACTGCTATGTTGTTCCATCGATTTGGAACTCTATCGCATATCCTAGCATCTACAGAATTGAATTGGTTCTGTACAAAGAAGGTAATATTATCTGACTTATGTGCAGGTACAATAACATTAATTTTAAATTATCGATAATCTTACTAATTGCACCGTTGCACGTCTTTTCACAGTCGGAAGATCTATCTCAAGATGCTCTATTAGATAAGAATGCAATAGCAATAGTGAAGGATCTACAGAAATTGAACGGATTGGATGATGATTACGACAACGACTCGGGCTCAGGACCGCACAATGTCGGAAGGAGAAAGACAATCCATAACTTAGAGAAAGCGAGACAGAAGAAGAGGAACATTGGCACTTTGGACGTTGCGTTCAAGAAGCGGTTCTTCAATATGAATGCGAATGATGGGCCAGGTAAAATTATGAAACTTTTAAGGTCGATTTTTCAATGGCATTAATGAAGAAATCGACAATAGACAATAATACAAAGACAAAATAATAATGCCGGTTTTCATGTTTCAGGAACACCAGTGCTGAATAGAAAAATGACGTTACGACGCGAGACACTGAAGGCTTTAGAAACTAGGCGGAATTCCGTGATGGCTGAGCGAAGAAAGTCACAAATGCAGACGCTCGGTGCTAATAACGAATATGGAGTCACAGGGATGGTAAATAATTTAAAAAATCTGATAAAATTTCAGTGACAGTTGGTTGCAGAACCATTACATTTACTATGTTCAATACGAGACAGCACAGGGAACTATCAACTAATTACTACCTAACTATAGACCCGCGAAGGATAGCGATATCACGGTAATAATACAGTGTGAGTCACGTTAAAGTGTACATATGAAAATAGATGTAACTATAGAAATAGACCTATTTTTATCGACAAAAAAGAGGTCAAAATTTTTTTGAGATTTTTTTTTAATTTTTTATAGAATTTTTTTTCTTCCAATTACTTATTGTAAAGAAAACTTAATAACTTTTAAACTAAGCGGTATATCCTGATAAAATAAAAACAGTAATAATGCTAAATAACAGGCGATACTAAAAAAATACATAAAATACACAAAAAAGGCCAACAAATAATAAAAAAAGATAGTTTTTGAAAAAAACTGCTTTTAAATTCGTGTTTTTTTGGTTATTTGATAAATTTCTCAAAAAAATGCCCCTATAACCGGTCGTTTTTATTACTTTGTATTATTCTCTATCGTATTACCTTCGTAAAACCAAAAATCACACGTCTCTATCCCTATCACAACGTTTGCAATGATCGTTTGAACTAAGCCTCTCCGGGCGCGCCATTCAAAGCTTCGTTAACAACGAAACTGAAAATGGCTCTAAATTTGTAATTTTGATAAAGACAAGTTAGATTTCAAATAAAAACAAAAGATTTCGAAGTAAAATAAGCATTTTAGTTAAAATTAAAATTGTCTCTACCTGTAGCGGAGAATAATGTTGTGGCAGGCCTTTGTTCAAACGATCATAGCAAATGTTGTGATAGGGATAGAGACATGCGATTTTTGGTTTTACGAAGGTAATACGATAGAGAATAATACAAAGTAATAAAAATGACAGGTTATAGGGGCATTTTTTGGAGAAATTTATCAAATAACCAAAAAAACACGAATTTAAAAGCAGATTTTTTTCAAAAAGTATCATTTTTTATTATTTGTTGATCTTTTTTGTGTACTTTATGTATTTTTTTAGTATCGCCTGTTATTTAGCATTATTACTGTTTTTATTTTATCAGGATATACCGCTTAGTTTAAAAGTTATTAAGTTTTCTTAACAATAAGTAATTGGAAGAAAAAAAATTCTATAAAAAATAAAAAAAAAATCTCAAAAAATTTTTGACCTCTTTTTTGTCGATAAGAATAGGTCTAATTTCATCTATTTTCATATGTACACTTTAACGTGACTCACACTGTATAGTAGGTATCATCTTACCCCCTCCCCTCTAAACCCCCCAAAAATAGCCCTGGGGAGGTAATGTGTGTTTAGGTCAAACGCATTCGATATCGACTGCATTAAAAATATATGAAGATGTTAGTGCTTGTTACAATCCGTCATCTTACGTTTACCGAGTTTACGTTCTAGTAGCGTAGCGCTCGCTAGTGACAACGTTTGATGTAAACTCTCACTAAGCCCTCTGATCAGTGAGTGAGTGATTGAGTCAGTGGTAATCGAGCTTTACATGTTATAGAGAGATTACTCATAGTATGACGTCCTACGACCGTCCGACCTTTTATTCGTATTGATTAATATTGGTATTTACTTCCAGCTCAACAATAATTTAGGTGTGCCAAGACATCGAACGTCTACCGCCAACATTTCAGTGAAGGATGTGTTCGCCGAGCCCAATGGTGGGCAAGTGAACCGCGCCTACGAGACGTCACTGGGCGACGACGAAGACAACAACTCCATGAGACTGCAGCCAAGACAGAACCAAGTCTCATTTCAGAGATATTCATGAGCTCGCGAACATTCGCATCTTCAACAAAATTGATAGGAGCAGAAGACAATCTACATATAAAGTGACGCTCACGGACACGACGCGTACGACTGTCGTAAACCAGTCTAAACCAGTGCGAGTGCGAATGTCGCCCGCTGAGACACGCGTCTGTGTGCGTAAGCAAAATGAAGTACATGGAGGTGATTGTCTTCTGTTACTATCTACTATGTGCACCTTCCTAGAGCTGCCAAACGTACTTATAAACAAAGTACCTAGCTTAAACAAATGTAGATACTCATTTTATATAATAGTAATTCTAATGGACTTTCGAATTTTTTATTAATTATACAAAACGTCATTATTGCTTGTGATATCTTTGTACTCTACTATTTTGAGCGATGACGCAGGTTGATTGCAAAACCATTTTAGATAATTTACAGCTTTATTGATAGAGAGTAAGAACTTATTGTACACTGCCACTAAACATTAGTTAAGAATGTACTTTTTACGACAACCCTTATGATAATTACAAAAGGAAACTGTAAAGATTGTTTACTTTTTTACCAACTATACTTTTGTTAAATTAATTAAACATCACAATTACAGTTTATTTTTTTAAATTACGAAATGATATACAGCATGACTTAATAAAAGTTTAAAACTAAATGACTTACTTAATTTTCTAAGAATGACACAAAGTCGGTGAGCTTGAACAGCTGGTCTTCGCTAGAGGTGTGGAGAGGGGCAGGTTGTGTGGGAGGGACAGGGTTCACGGTGACTCCATCTTCCTTTATCGTCCACTTGCGGTCGTGGCAGGCGTGCATCACTGCTTCCTTGTTGAGCCCAGTCATGGACACAATAGTGTCAATTGATATGGAGCTGTATGAACGACCAATCAGGTTGAAGGCCCTCTCGCGGATTTTATCTGGGAACATAGAAATGGAACATATTTATTTTCTTGATTAACAATAAAATTCTTCCCAGTAATAATTAAGGCCATAGGAAAGAGACAACTTATATAAATTAAGAACCATAATATTGGACTTGGTATGTCATTTGTCAACAAAACATTATTTAATATAAAATAATTTCTATTACATTTAAATAGAAAATCAAATTTTATAAAATATTATTACTAAATCTAAAGTATTATTACTGAACCTATGATGATTTTGGTCAACAGACAAGGAGTAAGGATAGCATTTTATATATAAAAAAACTTTATAACACACAATATGGTCCTAAAAGTAAAATAGTAGTAAAGTAAAATAATAGAAAGTACAGTCCTTGATAGTTCCAATATGCTTGACGATATTTCTTCCTAAAACAGTGAAAATTAAAAATTGTTTCTCATTGCTCAGTCTACCTTATTTATAAAACCCCAAAGCATACAAACCATTATTTATACTTATTTTGATCTGTGATAAATTAAATGTCGCGCTGGTGAAGCCGCGTGCAAAAGCTAGTTATTTATAATAAAAAAAGGGATTGTATGAAGCATACATACTCCAGGACACCAGGACCTGTCACATTAATATGACTAAAATAGGTAGTTGCCTATTTTGCAGTATAAGCTAGTTTCATCATCATCATCATCATCATCATTTCAGCCACAGGACGTCCACTGCTGAACATAGGCCTCCCCCAATGCTTTCCATGTTGATCGATTGGTAGCGGCCTGCGTCCAGCGCTTCCCTGCTACCTTTACGATGTCGTCGGTCCACCTTGTAGGTGGACTAAGGTGGATAAGCTAGTTTAGAATTGATCAAAAAACACTAATATGACAAAATAGGTAATTGCCTATTTTGCAGTATATGCTAGTTTAGAATTAATCTAGAAATCTGAGCAACATTATCAAAATATGAAAACATAATTAAATCTTCTAATCCTACATACCTTCAAGAGCGTTAATGATATTTGCCACCTCAGGTTCTGACCAGTTATAAGCTACTATAGCATGGTAAGTCCCCGCTAGATCTTTCTTCCAAAGCTTCTGTCCGATGGCCCATATGGCTGCTAGTTCTGGGTTGCTACTCGTAATGTTTTGTGGTATCCTCTTCCAGAGAAACTTGGCATTGCACCTGGAATGTTAAATTATGTAGGTGATTTATCAAGTTTATAATAAGCTTTAGCATCTGTATTTTAAAAGAACAATGGTTTTATAAATAAAATAACACCACCACTGTGCACTGAGTTGTCTGATCTTATAGTTTGATTATTACGCCTAGAGAAATGTATGTGGGGTTAGATTTCAGTGTTTCAAGTATACCCTAATACCTTTATTAGACTTAATAAGCATACATGCAGAAGAAGTTACGTTTGAGTCACCATACAATTAAAGAATAGACATAGAAACAAAAAGATTAAGTGCATGAACTACATGCCATCACTCCTTAGTAGGTAAGTGTGTTACTGTAACTGCTTCATTTTAAAAATGTTTACTTACAAATCATTTTGGTACAAGTATATGGCCAGCAATTGTGCATATGTTGAGGGCGATGCTACACCTGTAGGAGCCTGTAAAAAAATATAAACTGGCATGTATTTAATTGTTCTAAATCGAAAATTAAAGTAAGAAGATAACCTCCAAAAGTGGAATTTCTTGAAGTGCTGCTGCAATTAACGTCTGTCTAAACTAACCTCTAATTCTTGTTTTTCCAAGTCTGCACAAAGTTTATCAAAGTTTGTAATCATTTTGCTGAATATTATCTACTTTCTAAATACAAACAAACAAAAACAACACGGGAAAAATCGGCGTACGTAAATGTCACTGTACAGTTGTCATTAGTGTCAAAACTCTGTACCCCCAGTGAAAACAGAGTTAAGTCGAAAATGGTGATTTTTGGGAAATCGCATTTGAAGTTAAAAAAAATCCTGCTTCGTCGCTATTAGAGATAACTTGGTGAAATATTTTTTAGGTGAAAGGTAATGTTAGATATAATTAGGCAGTGTGCCAGTTTGGGAAATATAGCATGTGGTTTTTTCGTAATTAAATAAAAACCTAGTTATATCGCCATGCACGGCAACTTTACATTCGTGTAAAGTGATGTAATGGGACATAAATCATATTACACCACACTGAATTGACCACCCGCTAACAAGTGTAAAGTGATAAATTTTACGGCATTTCTGTTGATAATTTTTTGTTTCTTCAATTTTAGAAAAAGTTGTAAAACAAACATTAGTAATTACACTATGAGGAATCATTATTTCAGGTTATTTAGGGTAAATCGTCAAAAAATTGCTACTTATATCAATATACACCAATTTTGTGATGAGAAAAAAAATGTGTAAACTGATCTAACTAACATAATAGCGATCTAAGTATCCTAATAATTATGTGTAAAGTGATATAAGTGGCGATTGTAAAGGAATAAGGCTAGAATTTTAGAGTGAATTCTAATTATTCACTCCTTAAATATTTATTCTGATCTAAAACTACTATTTTATTAATTATTACACCATATACAATGAATGATATCGGCCTAAATCACATACATTATCTCCTATTTTAAAGTAAGTATTAGTTAACACTAGAAAGGCCGCCGTCCCATTTTTGTCCCACTCGCGAGTTTGATCGTCTCTAACTTTTTTATTTTTCAACGAAAGTCCATGAAACTTTTTGACTTTTTNAAAATAAAGTTCATGAAATCAACTGTAAACTATGTTAGTAAAGAAATTTAATAAAATAACTATCTCAAAAATACTTCAAGCAATTACATACTACCATGAAAATACATTCAGCTGAGAAATACTTATATCTGAAACCTGAAATGATTGGTGTCATAATATTTCTTTGATTTCTAAATGTTTATTAATGTGTTTTATTACAGGATTTGGACTTATAATGTAATAACGTAAATGTAATTGAGATTGATTGGGAACATTTAAGTCAAGCTAAAATTGTATCAAATCATACAACAGTATGGCCAAACTTTTATGTTTCCATTCAACCTCCACTGCTAACACCCAATTTCCCATAATTTTAGGCCCGTATATCCAGAGATCTGAAAGAATTAAGAAACTCNATTTACTTTGCTTCATACTATTACGAGTTCATGAAATCATCTGTAAACTATTTTAGTAAAAAAATTAAATAAAATACCTATCTCAAAAATACTTCAAGCAATTAAATACTACTATGAAAATACTTTCAGCTGAGAAATACTTATATGTATCTGAAACCTGAAATGATTGGTGTCATAATATTTTTTGATTTTTAAATGTTTATTAATGTGTTTTATTACAGGATTTGGACTTATAATGTAATAACGTAAATGTATAATTGAGATTGATTGGGAACATTTAAGTCAGGCTAAAATCGTATCTAATCATTCAACAGTATGCCAAACTTTTATGTTTCCATTCAACCTCCACTGCTAACACCCAATTTCCCATAATTTTAGGCCCGTATATCCAGAGATCTGAAAGAATTAAGAAACTCNTTTTCTTTTTTTATTCTAAAGACGAATTTAACGATAGAGTAAATCTGATTTAAAATATTATTTATAGTTAAAATACATTTTTTATGGCTACTTTTGCTATCTATTGTCACGTAAACGTAATTTTAAGTCAAATAAAAAGATAAATATTTGAAAACCTTTGATTATACAGGGTGTTAGGTAAATAGGTATATGAGCCGACACTAACCCATGATAACATGGTCATATAAAATGGTATGGTGAAATCAGAAACTTGATATCATCATTTGATTTTTTTTAATTTTCATACAAAATTAATTTCATAAAATCCGATTTGTATTAAAAATAAAATAATTAAAACGAAGATATCAATTTTCTGACTTCACCATACCATTTATATGACCATGTTAACATGGGCTAGTGTCGGCTCATATACCCATTTACCTAACACCCTGTATACGTTTTTTTACTATGTCCCGCTTCTGACGGAAGAGTCCCGCTATTTTCAACCGACTTCAAAAAAAGGAGAAGGTTCTCAATTCGACCCGTATGTTTTTTTTTTTTTTTCATGTTTGTTACGCGATAACTCCGCCAATTATGAACCGATTTGAACAAATCTTTTTTCAGCGTATAGGTAATACCTCAAGGGTGGTCCCATTTAAATTTNTTTTTATGTTCCTGGTCAGGCTATACCTACATTTAGTTTATTACCTAACTGCGTCAGAAGAAGGGTTATGTTTATTTTTATATTATTCTTACCTAATAGCTGCTTTATCGGGGGTTTCAGGTGTATTTTATTCATTGGTGCAGAGGAAAGGTGAAAATGTTATGACCATGTAAAGAAAATTGAAAAAGATTTCATCAAGCAAGTTTGATTAATTGAAATGCTGAAAAAGCGATTTATATTATATTAATACCTCTTTAACTTGATCATCTATTTGAAGAACAAGAAATGCNAAACATACCGATTAGATACAAAAATAGCTAATTTTTCAGAGATTCACATTATGTTATAAAGTCAATTTTGATCTAAGTCGAGTTAGATCCCTTTTCACTGGGGGTACAGAACTGTCACTGTCACTATGTTTTTTTAATACTGAATTTAGACAAAGAAAACTAAATTAT